TCAGGAAGGCTGAGGGCAGTGAGAAGGGCAGGAGTCAGAACAGCAGAGGAGGGTGAGGAGTTGGGGGGTAGCAGGCACCAGGGGAGATGATGGAGCAAGGGGAGGAGACATGGCAGCAGAGAGAAAAGGGAAAGGTTTATAAAATATTTATTAATAACTTGGTCTGCTGCGCACGGCCGGTTTGTTTGTGCCCCACGGTGCAGTTTGGGTTTATGTGGGGATCAGCATGTGGCTGGCAAGTGGGAGCCAAAACATAAAAGTAGTCAGTGTAATGATCTTCTGTTGATATACGTTTTAGTAGTTAAATTGCTGAACTGTCATTGCTCATTAAAAGTGCTGTCAAATGGGTGGAAATTGGATAAATACTGCATTTTATTAATATCAGCAGAACTGACTTAAATGGGGCCTGAGTGTTGTGTAATCTTGCCTTAATCTTTGTATTCATGCCCATCAGTGTGAAAGAAGCTACCCACTTAAGTTGAGGCCCTCAACTTCAGCATCTGACCCCCCCCCCCCCTTTTTTTTTTGCTACTTCACTCAGAGAGTGGGGACGCCCTGGACTGGATTTCCCAAGGAGGGGCGGAATCTCCATCCTTGGAGGTTTCAAGTCCCAGCTTGACACAGCCCTGGCCGGGCCGATTTCGTTGGCTTTGGGCCGGGGGCTGGACTGGGTGACTCCGGAGTCTCAGAGCTCTTCACGCTAACGTGGGTGATGGCGTCCTCAAAGGCCCAGCAGCGGCCTGGGCAGTGGGCAGATTCACATTCTGAAGCGCAAGGCAATTTGTGAGTGCGCCTGGATCTTGTTCTAACCCCACACCTGTCTGAGTGTAGCGGGGGAGGCCCCTGTTCCAGTGCTGGCACCACCCAGAGACTCCCCCTCCCCAGGGCAAGCCTGGTTATCAGCTGCCTGCCCTTGCAGGAAGTTGGTTAGCAGTTGTAACTGAATAATTCACGCGGCTGTTTCTCAAGAGGGCTGCTTCAGGTCACTGGGTAACAAACCCTGCGCAGTGTTGCAATTGGTGTTAACCTTCCTCAAGGAGGCCACTTGCTGGACCTGCCCATGGACCCGGGCCTGCAGACTCAGGCTTATGGGGCTCGCGCTCCGGTGCAGACATTCCCACGCGGGCTGGAGTTGGGCTCTGAAACCCAGCGGGGAGGGAGGGGGAGATGCCGGGGGCTCAGAGCCCATGCTCCCCTTCTATTTCCAGTGCTGCAGTGTCGGCCCCTCCCCCGCCGAAAAGTGTGTTGGTTGCAGTGTGCGAGTGCCCCGTTAGCTCGGTGCAACGTGCACGGCACGAGGAGCTCTAGACGTGCGTGTGCAGCTGCTCGAGCGTTCTGGGCCGTGCACGAAGAGCGCCGAGCAAGCATCGGGTTGCAGTGCCGCGGCCCAGCAGAAAGTCCTGGTGCAGTTCAAGGTCTGGGTTCAGATCGTGCCCAGCAAACAAGAACACTTGAAATCGGCAGCCCATGACTGGTGTGCTGGGGGTTACGGCTCTTGGGGGGCGTTGCCCCCCTCAGCCTTTGGGGGAAGTAGCAGGCTGCCTACAGCCACTGCAGAGAGCCTTCCTGTCCTGGCTGCCACCCCGCACCTCTTAGGACCCCAGCATCTACCATGACACCACTGGGCCTTTGTGGGGCTAATCCTGAGAGACGGCCTGAGCAGACCAGGGTCTGTCTACACTACAGCACTAATTCGAACTAACTTAATTCGAATTAGTTAATTCGAACTAAGCTAATTCGAACTAGCGCAGCTAGACCTAAAAACTAGTTCAAATTAGCGTTTTGATAATTCGAACTAGCATGTCCACATTGAGTGGACCCTGAACCGAGGTTAAGGCTGGCCGGAAGCAGTGCTGGCAGGGCATCAGATTGGGACTTAGAGTGTGGAGCTGCTGCCTCAGGCTAGCCGAGGGCTGTGCTTAAAGGGACCCCACCCCCACCCCGGACAGACAGTTCTCAGGGGTTCCC